TATAATAAGACACACCATATACCTTGTTCTCCCCCCAGCCACCAGCCTGGAAATCCTTCTGCTCACAGCCATCACCTAATAAAACCCATCCTCTGACCCATTCCATGTGTCACATCAGTGCAAAAGTGTGATGCACTCCCACTTTCATACTCACTCTGCACTCCCTTCCTATCAACAAGCAGCAGTTGGTGAAACCCAGGACACAATGACCTATGCTTTTGTTTCAATAGTAAAATCTCTAGGAATAGTTACAGGACAAAAATGTTTGTTCTCTTCCTAATATGTAATATATTTCCCAAGAACCTTAAGCCACAATCCACTCAATCCATTTTGAAGGACTATCTGTCTTCTCTCTGTTATCCTAACATGAAAATGATTGATAACCATGTTAAATATTAATTTATACAATAATAAATGTTCTATAAACAAAGTACTATTAATAATGACTAATGGACTATTGGTAATTAATCTGGGAAGTTACTCTGTTGATAACCTATTGATTAATAATAATGAATGGAATAATTAATTAGAATAATATATTCTAAACACACTTATAACTTTTGATAAGCATATAACTATGGCATTTCACATCACTGGACTGCTATACAGAAGCATTCAGAACTAAAAAATGTGAAAAAATGTACGATTTTAAAATGCTTATGAAAACATTAAAAAATATAGAAATATATACAACTAAGTTGCATATACGTATTTTAATAAGTAAAAACACATAAAGAGTAATGTGGGACATAAAGAGAACATGATAAAAATTTAGGAAAACATTTTCTTTAATAAATAAAAGTAAAATATAAAGATAAATAATTCATTATTAAATTTTAAATAGGACATTAGGGAAATAAACTATAATCTGTTCAAATTTATGATTTCTGGAAGCTAAAAAATAGGTACATATATGAGTTAGAGTCAACTACTATGGCCCTTCCAGCCACAATTCCTGATGTGCTTTAATTCTGGACTTTATACACCTGTGGCTACAGTCCTGTTTCAGAGGGCATTTTTTACTAATGAACAGGTATAAGATAGAATTAAGACCTGACCTTAGTAGAAGGTGTCAATTGGGCCACATTCTGTTTCTCTGATGACATCTTTAAGACCCCATCTTAGAACAAGGCATGAAAACAGGCATGAAACACTGGGCCCCCTAGAGACATGACGGTGTCGTCTTACAATATCATCATCGCCTCACCTGGAAAGCCAGCCCCCCATTTCCTAACTGAGCTTTGGTAGAAGGAAGAGGACCTGCTGGTGACTTTGGGACTTCTTTGGCTTTGGGCTCTGAACCCTGCATCTGGCTCACCTCTGCCTGACCTTCAGATTTTGGACTGATCAGCAGCCACCACCACATGAGACATTTCTTCAGACTTTTGTGAGTTTCTGTGGGACACTGCAGCAATTCGCAGAACCCAGGGACATGAGGGACCATACTCAAGGGAAGAGTGTGGGGGAATATGGAGCTGAATTGCACCTTAGAAGAGTTGGCCATTTGAGACACTATTAATCTTCAGCTCCTTGGAACCAGTCTGGTATTAATTCTTCTAAAATAAGTGATTACCACACTTAATTACTTCACACAATTTTTAGCTGAGATGTTTACTTGGCTGACCTTTGTGAAGGTGGCGATGACCTCCAGTAGACTGGTCTGCTCAGGCCAATCCTAGTTTAGTCTGTATACACAAGTCTGTACCATCTTCAGGGGCATTCCCAGCCAGGAGCCTTTCTTCATTGCCCCTCGTGTCTCCCTTCTGCCCACAGCTTCTTATTTCATTTCATGTCAAGCACAGCTATTACAACACATTTTATTTCACTGGAAACATCTAGATAAAGAATCAAATCTGGTCACTAAGAAAACATTTATACTCTAAAAAAAATTAAATGGAAGTGAGAATACAGTTTTCTGCTAGCTCTTCAAGTGTCATCACTTCACCTTTTACTTGGAGGCGATCTATGCGATGGAAATCACGAGTACCTAAGAGATGCTGTGCTTCGTCCGCTGATAAGGCACTGCCAACAGCTGTGATGCCTGCATTCTGGCCCATAGACCACTGAACTGCTATGGTAGTTATCAAAAATGTACAGATAAACATATAATGCAGAACAGACTGTATTAGTGTTTGCAGCTATACAAACAGGCAGCATTTCAACTAGGAAGGAAAATATATAATTTATCAAAAAATAGTTCTGATAGGAAAAAAAATCAATCCTGTGGGGCCAACGATCTGACCCTTATTTACATTTACTGTAACTGAGTGAACCCAGGACTGATTAGGGAGTGGTGATCAGGGACCTTTTTAGTAGGTCCTCTAGTCACCTACTGTATAAATAGATGAACAGAGTAGAAAAGATTTTTCATTTGTTCATTTTTTAAAGGGCAAAGGAGTATGACTGGATGTAAAAGAAGTAAAACTCAGTCCTGGGTCAATTCAGACTCTTCATAAATCCTGAAACAGCATTTTGAAATCTTTGACCAATGTCCCATGTTTATGAGAATTATTATCAGCACATAGTTGATTTGAATGGTTGTTGCAACGGAACCAATGTGGCTTACGTTATTTTTTTTCATCCCTTGCCCTCCTTCCCCCACCTCCCTGCCTCAAAATCCAGGTGGCTAAAGTATGGAGGTGATCGAAGGAGGGGCATATGGAAAGAGGTGATCACACCAGCTTCTTGGCCTCAAAGAAACTCTTGAGGTGACGCATCTGCCAGATGCCAGTGAGAATGAGGATGACGGTCTGAGCAATGGACCACCACAGGACCCTCTGGTTGGTGCTCTCGCTGGTCAGACGGAAGCGTTCTTCACGATACTGCATGGGACAAGGGCACAGTTAAATGTGAAGGAGAAACAGTCACGGGCCGTTGTCAGGTCCTTTCCTTTCGTAATACGACTCAACTCAAGGACTAAATGCCTTCTGGAATATTCGTTTGTGTGCTGTTGCTTCTCCAGAGATTGCCCCTAAGGACAGGACCTTACGATCCCTCCACACGCTTTAAAAGCGATGGGACAATGACTAATACTCAAGTGTACATTTTCCTCTGTTTACTGAGGCCTTCATTTGCATTAGAGCTTAACCATGCCTGTCTGGACCGATACCCTACCTTCCATTCTCTCAAGACATGACCGCCTAAGTGGGGAAGGCACCAAACAGAAGCTTCGATCTCCATGTACAAGGAAATACACACTTACCCGCTGGTAATCTTGCTCCTTCTGGATCTGTTCCACTTGATCAAGCAGCTGGCGGGCTCGGAGCTGCAGCTCTGTCAGTTTATCCTTGGCAGCAATCTCAGGGTAATTGTTGGCATGTTCTCCAACCTGGATGTCTAGGTGCACACGCTAAAAGGAAACAGCACAGGAGCCCAAAAGTAACAAAGTCAGAAACACGTTGACATTATGATGTCTGAATGGTGAGGCTTCCCAAAGTCTGCTTCAGCTCAAACGTGGTCTCTGTGGAATCACCTCCTGCTCCTGAATCTAGGGCAGTGGATGAGGGCAGTCAAACAAAAGTCTGAAAACAAGTGAGCGATTCCACGCTACAGCCAATGAGAAAATAAATCCTCTTACCAGTCTTCCACCAGCAAAGAGAGCCACTCTGGTAGAGTTGGAATGCAGGCAGATCTGATGGTCACCAGGAGTATGGGACGTGAAAGTGAACCGGCCCTCTGAGCCATACTGCCGCGAGAGCACCACCTGCAACACAGCCCTCAATGACCATTCTGCCCCAAGCACCTGCCTTCGCCTTTACGCTGACTGCTCCGTGTACTCTGACCTTCAGGGTTAAGGCCCGCTCATAACGTCCCACACGGCGGAAAGGCTGGAAGTCACCTACAAGTTACCTGCTGGCTGGGTTGCTAGCGGTACGTAGGCTTTACCTTCCCTTCGGGGTCCTTCACTTCTACGTGCATCCCCAGGCCAGGCGTGGAGAGCAGGTACGCCTCTTTTTGCTTATCCCACATCTGGGTGCGATAGTTCCCTGTAGAGCAGACAGGCCAATCACAAGCTGCAGAGTCTCCTTCTCCACCCGGCTCCCTACGCTCTACTGGTGCACTGGAGCGCACGGCGGACGCAGGCGAGCTGCCGCGTCTCGTCGAGCACGGCTGCGGGCAGCAGGCGCCCTTGGGCCTGGCCAACCCAGCTAGGTCCCACCGCCCGCTGACCTGGCTTCCTCGGGGCAATGTCAGGCCGCTGGATAGGGGGTAAAAGTGACACGATGCTCCCGGGGCGGGGCAGGAGGGGGTCGGAGGGGGAGAAGGGCCCTCTTCACCCTCACACCCGCCTGACCGATGACCATGGTCTCGTCAGGGATCTCCTCGATGAAGCAGCGCTTCTCCGTCTCGCCAATGTGGAAGTAAAGCGCTCGGGCACCCGCGGCGCACAACGCCAGCAGCAGCAGCTCCGAGCAGCCCATTGTCGGCCGCCGCCGGGCTGTGACACCTGCCATCCTCCGCAGCGCTCCGAACGGCGCCTGCGCGGGCCGCCCTCCGCAGCGCGCCTGCGCGGGCCGCCCTCCGCAGCGCGCCTGCGCGGGCCGCCCTCCGCAGCGCGCCTGCGCCGGCCTCGCAGCGGCGCGCAAGGCCGGATGGGAGCCGGCACTACGGGCCAGGGCACCTGAGAGGTGCGGCGCTCCTGGTCACGCGGGCCGCCGCTGGGCGCTACGGAGGCCGAGGCCCGGGGCTTGGAGCGTGAAGGGCAATGGTTCCCGTAGCCGAGCCGACGAATGTGTTCCTCCGTGCGGTCTCTGGACCTCTTCGGTGTGAAGCCCACGCCGCCCCTAGCATCGCGCCTGCATCCCTCGGACTGAGAGTACAATACAGCCTTGACCTTCTGGGGCAGCGCCCAGCAATAAGGTCAACAAATACTTACTGGATACTGGCTGGTTCCATTTGCTGACAGTACATTAGCGAATAAAAATCTAGAACCACAGGCCCTTTCCCACCCTGGGATTAGATTACCAGAAACAAATAGAAGGTGACAGATGCTCTGGCATTCCCAGAGGAAGACAACCCGTGCCAAGGGGATAATGCAAAAGCTGAGGGGCAAGTGGACAAGATGAGGAAGATGAACATTTTAAAACCGAGGCCATGAGTAGCTGGTAATTGATGATAACAAAGGCTAAGTAAGGCCGAAGTTTGTCCGAAGTGACTCCGTCTTGTACTCTTCTGTTATAAAATCAGCTTGTCACTGATGTGAAATTTCAACTGCACCTTCGACTTAGATACCAGGCCAAAACCCAAGGCCACTGCAATCAAGTCAGTTCTTGTGGGGGAAAGGCCAGCCCCCACAACTAATGTGGGTTCAATAGGCGCAATTTTACAGTGATAATAAGTAAAGATTATAGTAAAGTCATAGCATGAGAGATAGAAGAGAGATTGAAATAATGGAGTCAGACACATTTCATGGTAGCATGCTCACCTCAGCCTCACTTGGTGGTCCATATGGAGATGGGGGGAGCAGGAGAGGGGGAGGGGAAGGGGGACACGGGGAAAGGAACAGGGGAGTGAGGACTGGGCAAGAGGACAGGAAGAGCTACTTTATTGCTAACCAAGGCTTATATATCTTTGGGGGGGGGCGTGCAAGCCCCCTAATTACAGGTAAAGACATACATTACAGGAAGGGGTTGTGCTATGGGTATTACAGTAATGAGACGGGGGACGATCCAGGGGTATCCATGCAATAGGAGGGGAGGTATTGGGGGAACACATGTGACAAGATGGGTGGATCCTAGATTCAGGATGGCAGCCTAACTTTGGATGTCACTGAACGGGTTTGACCTGTTCTCTGGCTCTCCATGGATACCATTATCAGTAGGGTGTAAACCCCACCTACAGTGACCAGACTGATGGCAGCAAGCCTTTAGGGAGAAGTAGCCCATTGTCCTTAACAGTAGGGAGTGGGCCTTACCTGTGGTAGGACCAGACAGTAGTCTGCAACTGACTGCCTTCAGGGAGGATGTCTCTAAGCATCTAACATCCCAGGACATGCTGGAAAATAGCCTCTAATGTTTGGCATATCTTTCAGGGAGACAAAACTGGGGGAGTTTCTTTATAATCCCACAAGTTCTGACTCCCTATAAGGCTTCTGAGACTGTAGATCTGTTCAGAAGCAGTGCCTAACACCAAAGGCTAACCCCAAAGGGAACGTTTTCTGCCTTCAGTACCTGGTTCCATCGTAAACCTTGAAATAGTCCTAACACCATTTTGAGTGCCCCATATATGCTTCTGACCACTGGGGAGAGGGATCAGCCCTGAGCAATCTGTGACAATCCAGGAGGATAAGGGGTAGTAGTTTGCCTATGGGAAAGACAGATAAACCATATGCACAAAGACTAAGGAAGATAGACTTAATAGAGTCACCCTCAGAAAGGTAGACAGGATATATCATCCTTTGTTCCCTCGTGCCCCTCCACCCACACCCCATTCTGGCTTGTTGAATTAACAAAATCCATCTCTGACTGTCTTTACCACCTAAGTGTTTACCAACACCTATTTTTAATGTTTAGCTTGTCTATTGAGAGAAATAAATCACCACTAACCTTGGGTAGAAACCATTAATTTTGTATTGCTCTTTGGACTTGGGAAGACATAGCTTTAGTCACTCTGTTTTCTTTCTAATTTCCACATCTGATGAATAAAAAAACATATTTTGGCAATCCAACACTTACCTGACAGGGCCACTAGGCCTCCATAGACACAAGCAGTTCTTATTCAACATGGAGGTTTGGGGGGTGGGTTGCTTGCTTACATGGGCACTTTAAAAATGTTGTAGTTTCACTTTAGAGAGTTCGAGAGGTACACTCAGAAAAATTTGATGTTAGACATGCTTATAGTGATCCTATGCCTGAAGTGGTGGAGGCAACAGAGGCCGTGCACACTGGGAACAGAGGGTGAGGCAAGGAGACCAGGAGAGAGAGCAGAGAAGTATCTCTGAGACTGAGACAGTGAGACAGAGCCATGAAGGCAGAGGCCAAGGAGCCGTGTGACTGAGAGACTAAGGAACAGAGACTTGGCTGCTGGCTGTAGAGCATTGTCATGGACCAATGACTGTGTTTAATATTTTCTGATCCTACCAGGACACCTTTCACCAATAAAATCAGGATCTAGGGGGGGTGGCATGAGGAGCTGATGCCAGGGGTTTAAGTGGAGAGCAAATGTTTTGAGAATGATGAGGGCAATGAATGTACAGATATGCTTTACACACTTGATGTGTGTATGGATTGTGGTAAGAGTTGTATGAGCCCCTAATAAAATGATTTAAAAATTTTTATAACCTTAAAAACTAAGTTACATAAAGTGCACCTGCGCACTTCGCCCCCTCCCTGTACAGGAGGTTATGGCAAAGGCTGGATAGCCAGGGACGGGTAAAATCAAGTCCAAGTCTCCCAACCTAAAACAGGTCATGGTCGCCTGGAAAACTATGGCTAATTGTCGCACGCGGATGACACAGCGCAACACGGACCGAGACAAGAATGGTCAGGACCCTTCTGGTAGATGCAATCTGCGAAGTTTATTTAAGCTGCCTCTTGC